AGTCAAAGGCTTTGGCGTAGTCAATAAAGCAGAAATAGATGTTTTTCTGGAATTCTCTTGCTTTTTCAATGATCCAGTGGATATTGGCAATTTGATCTCTGGTTTCTCTGCCTTTTTAAATCCAGCTTGAACATCTGGAAGTTCATGGTTCACGTATTGCTGCAGCCTGGCTTGGAGAATTTTGAGCATTACTTTGCTATCGTGTGAGACGAGTGCAATTGTGCAGTAGTTTGAGCATTCTTTGGCATTGCCTTTCTTTTGGATTGGAATGAAAGCTGACCTTTTCCAGTCCTGAGGCCACTGCTGAGTTTTCCAAATTTGCTGGCACATTGAGTGCAGCACCTTCACAGCATTATCTTTTAGGATTTGAAATAGCTCAACTGGAATTCCATCACCTCCACTAGCTTTGTTCGTAGTGATGCTTCCTAAGGCCCACTTGACTTCACATTCCAGGATGTCGGGCTCCAGGTGAGTGATCACACCATCGTGATTATCTGAGTCATGATGCCCCCCGTCCCAGTCACCCGCATTACTCTCCCAGGACAATTATCATCCTTATTTCTAATATCATAGATTCATTTTGCCCCTTTTGAACTTTACATACAAGAATCAATACAATGTGTATTTTATACCACTGTGTTTGAGAGATCCACCCACACTGCTCTCTATGTAGTTAGTTTGCTTGTGTTCATTGTTGTATAGTATTCCATTGCCTAAATTATCATTATTTGTTCAGTCAAACACTGAGAGACATTTGAGTGGTTTATAGTTTGAGACTTTCTCAAAGTGATGTTGTCGATATTTTTGTCTTCGGTGTATGTCAGTGTGTATTTGAGTTGGGTATCTACTTAGGAGTAGAATTGCCTCATCATAGATTATATGTATGTTCAAAGAGTGATATCTTTACAGCATAAGCAGATGGCAGCATTCCTTCACTTAAACCCTCCATGGCTTCCCATTGGCTTTAGAATAATGTCCTGACTTTTTATGTCAACTCACTTGGGCTTTGCATGCTCTGCCACCTGCTCACTTCTCCCTCCCTGCCTCAAATCCTGCTCTTATACAAGGTGTTTTTCCACCAGATCGGTATTCTAGTCCATTCTTTCACCTTGCCAAGCTTCTTTCTCTGCCAAAGGGCCCACTTGCTTGATGTGCTGCAGTTTCCAACTGGTCAGTTATTCTTTATGTTGCTGGTCAGATAGAATATCCTCAGAAAAACCTCTCCTGATCCGCTAATGTAACTGAGAAATCACTATTTTTGTTTCTCATTGCCCAGCTCATAATTGCACAGAACTGAATGTGAAACTGTCTCATTGTTAATGACTGCCCCACCCAGCAGACTAGGCAACAAGGGACTGGGACTGTCATGTTCACTGTTAGATCCTCAGCACTTTGCACCAGGTAGGAACATGGTAAGGGGTCAATAAGTAACAATACTCTTGGGACTTCCCTGGTGGTCCACTAGCTAAGACTCAGTGCTTCCAGTGCAAGGGGCCTGGGTTCAGGCTCTGATCAGGGAACTAGATCCCACATGCCATGACTAACAGTTCATATGCTGCAACTAAAGATCCCACATGCTGCAATGAACATTGAAGATCCCACTTGCTGCAACTAAGACTCAGCACAGCCAAATAAATAAATATTTAAAAATTAAAAACAAGTAAATAGGAGCTTCCTTGGCAGTTCAGTGGTAAAGAATCCACCTGCCAATGCAGGAAACATTGGTTTGATCCCTGATCTGGGAAGATCCTACTTGCCTTGGAACAACTAAGCTCATGAACCTCAGCTATTGAGCCTGTGTTCTAGAGCCTGGGAGCCACAGCTACTGAACCGATGTGCTGCAACTATTGAAGCCCGTGCACCCTAGAGCCCACGCTCCACAAGAGAAGCCACTGCAATGAGAGGCCCATGCACTGCAGCTAGAGAGTAGCCCCCACTCTCCATAACTAGAGAAAAGGCCACACAGCAGCAAAGCTCTGGATCAGCCAAAAATAAAAATTAATAAATAAAAATTTAAAAATAAATAAATAAAAAGTAGCAACACTCTTACCTACTCTGTAGAACTGAGGCCTGGTAGTCACACAGGGACCAGGGTGCAAATCTTGTCTCCATTACTCACTACTCTTGTGCAGTTAGGCAAGTTACCTAGGTTCCCTGGGCCTCCATTTCCTCCTCTGGAAAACAGAGATAATCCTGTAGCTTGAGAATGTATGTGAGTACATCACCTAACACAGTGTCAGCCGAGTGGTGCTGATTAAGTAGCGGCTTTCTTATGCACCAGCTCTTTGAAGCCTCACTACAATCCCAGGGGCAGGAACTATTTTAAATCCCCATCTCATAGATGAGGAAACTGAGAAACTAAGGACCAGGGAGGTTAAATACTTTGTCTAATCACTCAGGCTCCAGGCCTTAAGCCTTCCTTCATGACAGTGTGGGTGGTAGCAAGTGAAAGATAATAAAAACAGAGGAGAGGGGCAGAGGTGAGCTCCAAATAGCCAACCCCACTCACTCCCACCCCTTTTACATCCATTCATCCCCATGAAACCCAAAGGTTAGGACCATAGCATGAAAACCCCTGGGTTACACAAACATCCATGATTATTAATAGCTATGAGGGGAAAAATAGAAAGATCTGATTACAGAAAAAAATTCAAAGTTCTATATAACAAAAGACATCACAAACAAGGTCAAAAGAGAAATGAGAGTGTGGGAGAAAATATCTAAATTTCATATAATAAAGGTTTACTCTGCCTGTTATGAACATACTCCTGCAAATAAACTGGAAAAATACAAATGATCCAATGGAAAAATAGGCAAAGAATATGAACAGAAGAGGAAATGACAGTGGTCAACAAACAATGTGTAAGCAGAGAAATGAAAATTAAATAATGAGCTCCTGCTTGTCTCCTAATATTAGCAAAAATGAAAAATATTGGTAACATTCATGTTGATGAAGGCATAAGAAAAGCAGCACTACAATACCCATCATTCAGCTGTCAAAATATTGGAACTTTTAGGAAACATTTTCTAAAATATTATGAAACAAGTAACATGCAACAACTTTCAGAAATTAGAGCAATAATGGATGGTGATATAAACAGATACAAAAATAGTCATTTCAACATTTCTGTAATAACAAGAACCTATAAACATTTCAATTGCATCAATACAGTTATATATTACATAGCTATTAAGTGAGGTAGATCCATATGTGCCAACTTAAAATTATTTCTAAAATGAATAAAGTAAAAAAGAATGTCAAGGAATAATATCTATGGCTTTAGTCTTCTGTTTCACAGAAAACAAAAGTAAACATAACCAAATCACCCCAAACACCTCTTTAAGCAGTTACAGTACTCTGGTGACTTAAATGGGAAGGAAATCCAAGGAAGAGAGGATATATGTATACACGTAGCTGATTCACTTTGATGGACAGCAGAAATTAACACAGTATTACAAATCACCTATATTCCAATTTTCTTTAAAAAAAAGCAGAGAAAAAAGTAGGAAAATCAAGTTTCTAATTACAGTGTGTGAAAGGAGTCAGACGGGAGGGTCTTTGGCTTAAGACACATCTTTAAGTTTAAATTGTTGCAATGAGCATAAACTTTATTAAAAATTAATTAATAAGCCCTGCTCATTAATAATGACTCAAGAAATACTGCCTACCTGTCTATTCTTATAAAATCTTTCCTGATTTAACATTTACTTTGCTTCAATTCCTACAAATAAGCTGCTGGATTGGAGAGAAGGTGTTAATTGTCTTCTGAACAATTTCCTCTGATTAACCTTTTGGCTTGCTCTGCTGCCCAGCCTCTCAGGAAAAAGAAACCTGATATCATTATTATTCTAAAAAGAAACCTATGTTCTGAACATACAGTACATGCATGCAGTAGAAAATTCAAAAATGAACAAAAGAGTATATAAGTGAGTCTTTTTCTCTCCCTAGTACCCAGCCACCCAGTTCTACACTGTTTTCTTACCTATCTTTTCAGAGATATTCTAGGCATGTATATGTATATAGTCTATTTTTTAGGACACTAATGCTATACATAATGTCTATATACATGGATACATTTTGTGATTTCTTCTAGCCAGAGCCTGATTAGTTCCAAGGATGCACTTCTTTCCTGCTTGAGAAGTCAAATTTCCATAGCAGTGGCAGTTTATCAATCCATTCATCCATCCATCAGTCTATCTGCCCATCCACCATTCATCTAATAGCATCCACTGACAAGGGTTTGGTGACCACTCACTCTGTGCCAGGCACTAGGTTAGAAGCTGAAGATAAAGTGATGAAAAGATAAGGTCCTTGCTCTCACCCAGCTGGCCTTCTGTAAAAGTAACAAATTATGTAGAAGAAGACAAATAATAAAAGAAAACTAACATATCTCAGACAATGGAACATGCCTTGGAGAGACTCATTCTCAGTTAAGAGAGGAGGGAAGGAGGAGAGCTAAAAAGGAGAGGGAGGGGAGGGAGAAACAGGGCTTATTTTAGGTGGATGGTCAGAGAAGACCTCCCTTGTGAGGTGACATTTAAGGTAAGAACTGAGTGACAAGAAGGAGAAAATGTTGCAGGTTTCCCTGCTCTGCTGACTTTAGAATGAGCAATTCCATGGGCAGAGTCTCAACCTAATCTGAGTGGTGATGAGGGTGGGCTCTGAAGACCTGGTGGCATTCACTTGAACCCCAGCTCTGCCACTGAAAGCCAGGGGAGCCTTGGGCAAAATGCTTAAGCTCTCTGTGCCTCAGTTTCCTCACCTGTAATACAAGGTCATGTAAAAATAGTACCAGCTTAAAGGATCACAGTGAAAATTAAGCAGGTTAAGCAATGTGGTCTGCCCAGACTGGCACAAAGAAAGTGATCAAAATATGATAAACTTTTTAAAAATTATGTTAGGTATAGTTCTCAGATGAAAAGTCAAAAGCATGCTCTATAAAAGAAGACAGTGATAAAAGTTTTTATCAAAATTAGAAATATTTGCTCTATGAAAGACATTGTTCAGAGAATGAACAAAGAAGTTGCAACCTGAGAGAAAATATTTGCAAATCACTTATTGGACAAAAGGCTTATATCCAGAATATACAAAGAACTCTCAAAACTTAGTAAGAAAACAATCCAACTAAGAAATGGACCAAAGACTTGACCAGACACCCCACCAAAGAGGATGCATTATGCAAAAACACATGAAAAGATATTTAACAGCATTAGCCTTTATGAAAATGCAAAATAAAACCATGATGAGATACCACTACACACCTATAAGAAGAATCTGATGGGATTTCCCTGGTGGTCCAGTAACTAAGACTGTGCTCCCAATGCAGGGAGTAGTTCCCTACTCAGGGAACTAGATCCCACATACCACAGCTAAAGAGCCTGCAAGCTGCAACTAAGACCCAAGTGCAGCCAAATAAAAAAATAAATAGTTGTTGCTTTTCTTAAGAATCTGACCATACCAAAATTAAAAAAAAAAAAAAGAATCTGACAATACCATGTGCTGACAAGATACAGAGAAACTACATTGGAAGTCCAAAGTGGTACAGCCACTCTGGGAAAAACAGTTTGGCAGTTTCTTATAAAGTTAAACCTTTACTTTACATATGCTCATTCCTAGGTGATTACCCTAGAGAAATGAAAACTTACGTTCACATACAGACCTATACACAAATAGCAGCTCTATTCATAATCCTCAAAAACTAGAAGCAGCCCAAAGGTCCTTTAAGGGATGAACAGATAAACATACTGTGCTAAGTTCATACTACTAGAAAGCTAAAAAAAAAATACGAACTCCTGATACATGCAACAGCTGAATGAACAGGAAAGGAGCCAGTCTCATACAGTTACGTACTATGTGATCCCTTTTATATGACATTCTTGAAAAGACAAAGCCACAGCAATGGAGAGCAGATCAGTGTTGTCAGGGGCCGGTGTGGGGAGAAATGTGACTACAGAGGGACAACTGCAGGTGGTCTGGGGCTGATGGAACTTACATGCATCCTGATTATGCTGATGGTTACACAAAACTACATGCACATCAAAATTCAAACAAATATACACCAACAAGTCAATTTCATCACATGTTAATTTTTTTAAATAAGAAAAATAAAAAATGATTAATGATACTGTCATTCTAACTCAGTCACTCACTCACTTCCAATCTCTCCTCCCTCCTTTCTTCTTATTTTCTGTAGCCAGAAACTTCTTCAGGAAGAGGCACTTCTGCCCTCTAAATATTTTAAAACATCCTTAATAACTTGGGCTTCCTCCTGGTGGCTCAGGTGGTAAAGAATCTGCCTGCAATGCGGAAGACCCAGGTTTGATCCCTGGGGTGGGTAGATCCCCTGGAGAAGGAAATGGCAACCCACTCCAGTATTCTTGCCGCAGAATCCCATGGACAGAGGAGTCTACCAGTCTGCAGCCCATGGGGTGGCAAAGAGTTGGACACAACCAAGCCACTAACGATAACTTGCTGCTTTGTTTCTCTGCATACAAAGGTAATACATTTTTGTTGTAAAGAAAAAAAAAAGGAAGGGAAAGAGGGAGGGAGTCAAGAAGAATTCAGTCATTACAGAAATGTGTGATGTAGAAAGCAAAAGGCATCAGGAATCTTGCCCTCCAGAATTAACCCCTGGGAGGAGCTTCTGCCAGAACCATTTCAAAGTGATTTTATACTGTTGTTTCCTTACAAGGTTCAGAACCCATATGGTGGGATTTCATTTGATTGATTGTTCAGGGAAACATGGAGGGCCCTGGGGAGAATGACCTTGAAAGGTCAACATCCAGTCCATTCTCATACCAAGTCAAGTCTTTTCACAGCTGGATGAAGTCTAGGGTGATCTAGTTCATTAAAGGTCATCCAGTCCCTTCCTGTCCCTCTCTGCTATGACTCCTACAAGACTCCATGTCTCTCACAGCAGCCTGTTCCCCTCACCTTGAGCTCTCCCTCTGTGCCCTGGCTACCTCTTCCCTCTCACCCAGCTCTATTTGCAATCACTGTTTGGATCATCCAGTCAAAGTGCAACAAATCACTCACTATCTGTTCCTTCCTCCCTTCCTTCAAAGATACTTGCTGAGCACGTGGTATGTGTACTGTGCTGAGGCATAGGAATACCTCGGGAACAAGATCCACACAATTCCCACCCTACCAGAGCCTCCATTCTAGTCAGAGAGA